ATTCGTGTAACAAGTATAAATATAAGTTCCATTTATAGTGTGTTATAATTTATACATATAGAGTTTATAATAATTTCAAGTCTATGAAAACAACAATGATCTCTCAACGAACAAAATCTTTTGAATTTTAATTAATGCTCTATAGTTTGTTACGCTTCCTTTATGAGAGAAGCATTTTAAACACGATATTTTTCATTAGTTTGTGAACATGCAACTGTTGAATTATATTAGCGGTACACCGTACTCTACCAAAACATCCAAACTTGATCTACTACTTTTATTTCTACGCATCGAATCAACATTACAGCCTCAGTTTACCTGTTTATAGTCTGCAAACTGGATAGATTATATCTTATACTTTCTCACGACTGGAAAGCCTTTTTTGATGAACTGAGTGTTTTATTTCCTAATGCATGAGAGTTTTTACAATAACAATACTCTTCAAGGTGATTTGAATGAAGTATTTAATAGCAAATACGTATAGAACAAAAATGCATTACCATCATAAACTTTCACAACTCTGTAAATGTCCATACGACAATCTAGAAAAGTAAAGTGAAAAGCACAATTTAGAAAGAATACAATTACACACAAATAACTCTCGAAAATAGTCATTAAATTACATTCACTCGAGTTCAAGTCTCGTCCAAGTCACATGTTTTTTATGTGCATATCAAGACCGTGCTAGGATTAATATTACATATACTCGAGTTTGCTTTTTACTAATGACAGGAAGAATTTGAGAGCGTATCTTAGCATTACTTTTACTTGACATTTGATCAACGCTTAAGACGGATTTCCACTTATTGAAAACTTTCCTATCTTGGAAAATTCTTTAAGCTGAGCATGCGCTCTAGTCGTGTTTCTCTATCTTCGGTCGGAAATATTTTTCTATGCCAGGAAAAAAGAAAGTTGAAAAATTTCAACATAGATTACTACAGTGGAAATGGATGCAGGAACTTTTTCCGTCAATTGTAGAGAAATATTACTTTCTATAGAAAGTTTTCAGTAAATGGAAATCCGTCTTTAGTAATATAAAGTTTGCATCCGTCAAGGTAACATTTGTCCGATTTTTTCATCAAGAACGCCGTCTGATTGATTTATCTCACATGGAAGTCACGTATGCTGATGTAGTGAAAGCTAAGGATTGAACGTCAGTAAGATAAGCAAAGTTATTGTTAGCGAATGCCACAAAATGGTTAACACATGCGATATATAGTTGGTTAATTTTATTAACTCATTCTTCATATTGCTAAGCGATGATCAAATGTCAAGTAAAAGCTTTCAAATTCTTCCTGTCATTAGTAAATCACAAACTCGCGTGTATGTAATATTAATATAAAACAGGGTTAAAATAAAATGCGGATACAGATGGCGGATGAGGATAAAATACGGTGTGTTGAGTGTGGCTGGAGTATCGAACATAGCCTGTCAACCTTGAGTGAAACAAATATTGTAAGTTTATGAAATTATTTATTCTACGTTCATCATCATTATTACACAAATAAGCTTCATATGCTTGACTGTCTTTTTTTTTCTCGAGAATCGTTGAATAGCAAATACAACTAATATGTCCATATATTCAACTGTATTGTACTGCGTATATATACACAGTCACACAGATCTTCGCTGTGTTCGGCAGGTGAAGTCAGTTGAAAGAAAACAAACAATATATAAAATCTGAGTGTTTAATGGTCACGAGAAAACAATTGTCGTTTCAACAAACTTTTTTAATTAGACGCAATATTTTGAAAAATAATTTTTAGCATTTTCTAAAACCTGCACTGGACTATGGATTGTAGACTGTGCACAAAAGTTTAACTGCATGTAGAATACTTTTATGATACACCAAGGGAGTAGATCCTTGTTTATTATGCAAAGCTTGGCGTTATAGTGGTTTCCATGTCAGAAGAATGAATCTGACGACGTTTTTGATCGGCGAAATTTTACCACGACGGTCTTTGACGGATGCAAACTTATTAATCCTAAGCATGACAAGTTAAAGTAATGTTATGATATGCTCTCACATTTTCCCATCATTAGTAAATATATAAATCACGTGTAAGTAATTAGTTATTATTTTTGAGATATACATATGTGTAATGATGACAATATTTTTTATAGCTCTTACTTCCTACTTCCTAGTAATTTTCCGTCATTGTTAATCAACCATGTTTCGTTAAGAAACAAATATAACCTATTAACTTTATGTATAATACCTTGTAGACATAGAAGTAGTTAAACCATTGTAAAATAGACTGAGGCGGAACTAGAACGTTAATTTGGGGAAGGATGGGTGGGGGTGAGTGTGCATATTCATATATTTTGTTGCGCCTACTGCTTTGTTTTGAACGTGATTTGAATTTCAAAAGAAATCAGTAGGGCACAACTGAATATATGTATATACACCAGAGGCGTAGCTAGAGGGGGGCGCCGGGGTACATATGTCCGGGGTACAAGAATTTGCCACGTTTGGTGATGGTTTGAGCCAAGCTGCTGTAGAAAACGCCAAAGCAAAATGTTCGACCTGAGGTATTGAGGTGGACAGAAGAATCAAGCGTGTTAAGAGAATGCCTGGAGAACTGGCAAGAGATGCAGGACTTTCATCAGAAGAATAAATTGTGCGCGTTATGAAGAATGACAAGAATTTTATCGTCTTCAACATGAGATGTCAACACGTTTTTCACGACTAAAGACCTAAACAATAAATTTGGATTTTTGTCGGACGTTAAGACTCTTCTATCTGTCACAGATGAGGATGCAATTCGTCAAAATTGTGCAGATTTTGCAAATTTCTACAACACAGACATCAATGGCTACGAACGTTTTATCGAAATTGGTGATTGCAGAATGCTGCTCCGTAACCGAACTGAAGCTCTACCAGAAACTCCCTTGGATGTTTTTGGTTTTATTGGGTTTTATGGAGATGACGTTTTTCCGCATTTGCGAATTTCACTACAAATTTTGTTGACAATAGCAGTTTCAATTGTAAGTTTTGAGCGGTATTTCAGCAAATTGAAACTGATTTTGTCATATCTGCGTACATCAATGGACAGGATAGTCTCAGTGTTCTTGCTCTTCTTAGCGTTGAAAAAGAAAAATTGGAAACAAGAAATTTCGATAACGTGATTGACCAGTTTGCGATAGTGAAATCAAGAAAAATAAATCATTGTAGACTATGTGAATTATCTTTGACAATGACTGAATGAGCCATATGCAATAAATTGTATAGTATTGCTTCTTCTTTAAATATAATGGTCCATTGAAATGTGAACTTTTTTCCGTATACAGTAAGGTATACAATGTTATTGTAAATAAAATGCGATTAGACACGCAGGAGGGGGCGCCAGTTTTATAGTTTGCCCCCGGGTGCAAAATACCCTGGCTACGCCTCTGATATACCACACACACCCCAATTAGCGTTCTAGTTACGTCTCTAAAAATAGACGTAGAAAATCAAATGTGATTGTATAGTTATCTAGCTGTGATATCTCTATTTACTGGTGTATATCAATTTATACTAAGGGATGCAGATGCCTACATCACAAAACCTAACAGGTAACACAAAAGAAAAACGCCGGTGCACAACGCCATGCAGTCTGCACAGCGCTTTGGGATTGAAATTATAATAACTTTTACTGCAATATCAATGGTCAATAGCCAACAGTCAGTAGTAAAGGGTCAATAGTCAATTGTCCATAGCTAATAGTCAACAGTCTTTAATCAACAGTTCATAATCCACAGTCTAGTCAACACCTCCATGCCTATTACGAGTCAAAGGTCTGTGACACCTGAACACACTTTAAGCTGTCCCACCAACGCTATACCAGGTAGGAATTTGTTTACCATGAGCCTACTGCAGTTTTGTCCGCCATTAGTTCACTTTTGTTTTGGATGCAGTCATACTTTAAAGCCTAATTGTATGATTGGAAATCCACCTTTTAATCTCGTTGTTGTTTCAAGAATGCAAAGAGAAGATCGCACAGTTTCTGACAGCAGGAGGGAAATGTTTATTTTCACGTCAGCGAGTGTTGTATTAAAATGAGACAGCCGTATTTCAGCCCCCAAATGACTGTTATTCCGCAGTGGATACAGCAACATTTAAAAACTGAACATTTTTACTTTCTGAAAAATTTTTTCCAATCGTCTAATTTGTAAATTAGGCATGGACATAGCTCTGAAAATGGCTGATAGACAGTGATTTTGGCATTTGGATGTATTGGTTGTTAATAGCATTTTTTAATATCTTTGATATCAGTTTAGTTGTTCGGCTTTAAAACTGAAAGAAAAAGAGGTAACTGAAAGATTATTTGTATTACTTGACGACCGTGAATAAATATTTATGTTACTGTTTGTATTGCAGACACATTCATTTAATTCATACTTTCATCCGCATTTTATCCCCTTATCCGCGTTTTATCCCCTCATTACCGTTTTATCCCCCCATCCGCGCTTTATCCCCTCATTACCGTTTTATCCCCCCATCCGCATTTTATCCTCTCATCCGCATTTTATCCCTTGATTCGCGTTTTATCCACTCATCCACGTTTTATCTGCCATCTGTATCCGCAGGTTCATCCGCCATTCGTATCCGCATTTTATCCTAACCTCATAAAAACATGTGTCTTGGACGAGATTTGAACTTGAATGTATGTAATTTAATGACTATTTTTGGGAGTTACTTATGTGTAGACTTGATAACATTTTTTATAGTTCCTATAGTTTTCCGTGATAGTAAATAAACCATATTTTTTAAAAAAACAAATACATTTTATTCTTTGTGATTGTAAAAACTCTCATGCATTAGGAAATAAAACACTCAGCTCATCAAGAAAAAGCTTTCCAATCGTGAGAAAGTGTAAGTTATAATCTATCCAGTTTGCAGACTATAAAAAGGTAAACTGAGGCGGTAATGTTGATTCGATGCGTCGAAGTAGAAGAAGTAGATCAAGTTTGGATGTTTTGGTAGAGTGCGGTGTAACGCTAAAATATTTCGACAGTTGCATGTTCACATCATTATTCCTTTCTGCTATTTCCTAATATTTATTTTATTACTTGATTAAAGTTATCATTTTTAGCTTTCGATTTTTGTATAGTTAAATATTCTTAATTAGTAAATATTTTTTTGTTAGCAAATTTCAACACGTTTATTGAAATTTTACAAGCAACGACCATATATTAACGATAATTTACTGTGGAGGCTACTTTTTTCCCCACCCCCCACATGTTTTCAGATATCTATCTCATTTTTCTGCATACACACCATTTAAATGCTTCTTAATGCAAAGTACGCATATTGCTAATTGATGTGCGTTATGTAGTTGTATTTTACATTTTAAAATTTAGAAACGGTTTGTGTGATGAAGAGGCAATCTTTCCGTCAACATATGCTTTGTTTTGCCTGACTGATATCTATCCGAGTTTATTGACGATCTTTGAGTAAGCTTAAATGATGTGTTAGCTGTTGTTTTTGGGATATGGACGTTTTTACCTCGAATCTTTCCAAGGAATGCTAAAAATGTGCGTCTATAGTCTGAATGTCTTAACGAGTACATGATGGGATTCGCGACAAAATTCATTAGTAAAAGCGGATAAAACAAATAAGCAACTTCATCAAGATTGCCTATTTTAGTGTTATTCATTCTGAGGACGAATTCAATTTGTCGTAGTGTCCTAAAAGGAAACGTGGTAATAAAGAAAATTGCGGTTAGAATGACCACAGTTTTCGCCATATTTCTGTGTTTGTTATTGTGTCTGCAATCATCTTTTGTGTTTCGGCCGCTGCGAATAATCTGAATAGTAACTTGGATGTTCAGGATAAGCTGAACGAGTGTGAGGAAATGCAGAAAAGCAATGCGCGCCATCCAAAACTTTCTGAAGTGTTTATCGAAGGGCGGAAATCTGTGTATTATATAACAAAAACCAACAGGTATCGAGAGCAACCATAACCCGATACAGGCTGACAGAACCTTGGGTGTTGTAAACATAAAACGACTTTTCAGTGGGTGTTTTGTAAGCACAAAGATCTGCATAGAAAAGAAAGTCAGGAATAAGAAAGATGCACCATTACTGAATGACCAACCAAATTGAACAATGTCCTCGTAAAGTAATCTCTCGCTGCCTGTAAAATTGATGATGTTGAACTCGTAGTAATCCAGCCATTGGAAAAAACAAGTAACGCACCAAAGAAAATCAGCGATAGCTAGGTTTAAGATTGTTATCCACGGTCCTTTGCGCAAGATCCTTAACGGGTCAAATACTATAGCAAGAATAACCGCTATGTTAAGGAGAGCTCCGATGACGGCAACCGATATAATAATGATGACAAGATTCTTTCGTTGTTGTCTTGATAGAAGAAAACCGCCCTTTAGAAAACAAAAATAATAATGAATGTGTTGTTGCGTAATGCATTCCTGAAACCAATCAATTTCTTTCTTACATAGCGATTCAGAAATCAGTTTCACCATGTCACGTACAGTGGAAAATGAAATGCATCCCATTGAAGTTGAGCGTTCAACAGAAATGTTTTTCATTTTCGTTATGACGTTCCATGGACATATAAAGATATGTTGCTAAGTACGCAACATAACATTTCTGTCAATATACCTACGGGGAAATTTCGGGCTAATCAAATATCTCTAAGTCAATATAAATCAAATTTGCCTATATTTACTACTCTACATGTTCTTTTGCAAATTGTGACATAATCGTCATTTGTACTTTAAAAAACCAGGAAATTTGACGTATGTTTTTCAGCTAATTATAGTTATGTAATTTATATTTGTTTTGACATAACACATTAGACGAAATTGTACGAATGTTTTCGTTATGCTTTTTTTTGCAAAGGCATTTTTAAATTTATATGTTTTCTATTTTACATATTTTGCATTCTGAGTAAAGTTTGTGTCACAAGCAGTAGGCTGCTTACTATTGGTGGTGTGCAATCATCCTTGATTTTTTAAAGAAATGTAACACTTAAATTATTTCTCTTTTGAAGCAAAGGGAGTCATCTTTTGCCTTTTCTTGCTAATTATACCCTGCATTTATCAAAGTATTTACAGTGTATATGTACAAAGTTCGTAAGCATTTCTCGGGCTAAGTGTTTACATGTTTTGTAAGTAAATTTATAATTGCTTTAACCAATCCGTTTTGAACTGCATTGCTGGATGCAGTTGTCGATGTGCCTCTGCATGGAAAATGGTTTTCTTCTACAAGAACATGGTGAATCTCAGAGGTAGTGGAGGGTTTTCGCCGTTCCAAAACCTCAATAAAAGCAAGGTCACTATCTGAAAAACTGCTTCTATTATCTATTCAATGTGGTGATTGTACGGTTTGACGAGTTTTTGTGGCAAAACTGCTTCCAAATTTTCGTATTTTATCAATTGTCATTCATCTTAATTCTGATGATGACGCTCTTTCCAAAACTCTGTTGCTAGTTCATTCCGCAAAATTAAAAATTATTCAGCTATGGAAAAGTAAAAATGCAACCTGACGCACTTTCACATGATGAGAATAAAATGTGAAAACAAGACGTATTGTTTTATTATTGATGAAGGATATTCAGTCCAAACATCCCTAATGAATATATTGATGAGCGAAATTTTGAAGTAAGTATCCCCCATCCCTATAATTGAAGGAAATACGTCGGTAAACGTCGCAGTGATAACAAAAGATCCCGAGGCAACCATGTTATCATATTAGTTATACAGTTAATGTAGTCAATTTGATTCCTTGAAATGTATATCTAATTGTACCCTGCTCATTCACATTCGTTAGTTGTCATGAATGTCTCTACAAACAACTTTAGTGTCAGTTATAAAAGATATTAAATGTTTTCGTTTGAGTCTCTTTCTTTCTCGTTATTAATTTAGACAAAAGAAGTTGAAAATTTAAGCTACTTTTAACACATAACTACATTGCAAAAAATTAGATAAAGCCCGATAAAATGGAACTATATCTATTCAATTTAACTCATATTAATGATAAAAATAATATATTTAAGTATTGCATTTACACTCGGAGAAATACACCATGAGGTTATACTAGCCACTTTTATGGTTATATATATTTTGATACACGTATATATTTTGTCGAGTTAGCGAGGTTTCTTTTGTGTTTGAAAAGTGATTGTCCAAAAACTCGGGTAATGGATACGCAGATGTATATCACAACTGCATGGGCTAAATTACCTCCACGCGAGATTTGTTTATTGACTAAAATATTTTATCAAAAACTCGTTGCTTTTGCTAATCTGCCCATACTTCAATTTTTTCTACATATTTTCATGTGCGCTTACCTTTGATGTCGTTGATGTGTTTGTTCCATTTGCCAAATCACTGTTATTCTTGTGTGTTGGGAATTTTGAATTAGTAGCGTTTGTCGGCATACTGCTTCCGCTTATTAAGGTAACTCCAATAAACAACAGAACAAGGTTCAATGATTTCATTTTCATTTATCCAATAGTATTTTTTGGTACACCTTAAACGATAATTTGACATCGGAATTCTTTCTCATTCTACAGTACATCGATTTTGGCAAGGGCTCCTTTCGTCTTCGAACTTAAAACACGCAGGTTACTCATGCCGTATGCCGTATGAACAGCCAATGAGAAGCAGAATTACTAAACCTCTTATGTTGTCGTAAATTGATGTTAAAACTACTGATATTAATCTAGCAATGGCATGTGTTGATTGCTATGAAGATAAATAAACACATGTATACTGCTGTTTTTTATTTTGATTGCGGGAATTTCGCCAAGAATTAGCATTATTTTAAAACCAGTATATACCAGTGACGTTGCATGTATTTTTTATCTTCCAGATTCAATAAAGTTCGCCTTTTTGATTATTATTTGTACACAGAATGAATTTTTTCGCGACATAGCTACTTTAAGATTCTCATAAATGAATTGCAAAACGTATTGATTACACAACCTTGATTGTTTTTTTGCATATATCCTTTAAAAGTCTCCAACAATCATGATTTCCTATCCCGTGATTGAATGTAAAGAAATCTCAATATTGTTTGTAAGGTTCATAGCATTTTTTCCATGTATAAATGTTTTGTACATAACAGGGGGCTTTACGAGTGTTCGGAAAGAGCCATATTTTTCTACATATTTAAACTTTGAAATGATGATTTTATTAAGGTTTTTAAGATTTTTCCGAGCTTTTGTACATTGAGATTATCAATAAGCACAAACATTCCCTTTATCATAATGTCCAGTTTGAAAAACACTGCCTGGCATTGATTCAATCAAAGCGTTTTTATGTACGTGCACACATAAATCAGGATTTCGTGAGAGTTTATTGTTTAATGGCAAAGACGTTAACAAACTGTCCATGAAAACACAGTCCTCTAGTTGACTTATCTTGATCACAACGGGAATGATGTCTGAAAGTCACGATCTAAATCTATCTGTAATACCCCCATTGATATTTTTGTTGACGTTGCCTAATATTTGCGGTCGCGTTTCATTTAAGATGTGCACGTTTTCTATTCACACAAAATATGCTCTTAATTATGTGAATGTGAGGCTGGTGTTTGTTAAAGTGGAGCAATGAAAAAAGCTGCTGCATATTTACCCGTTCGAAATGTTGGGATTTAAGGGTTAGTGCAAGTTTGTGGTTTGGCGTACATCGCAAGCCCACGAGCTAAGGCCATTACATGATATGAAAAATGTCGTTTAGTTCAGCTTGCAGGGGAGGGGAAATTTTGGAAGTTTCCATTGTAAAAAAATATTTTTCTTGCTACAAGATACGCCAAGCTCAAACTGCTCGCTCAATTCGAAAAGACAATGCCAAACGGACGAAAAACAACAAAATTAATTGAATCATAGGATAGAATTAGAATAAATGCAAAACAAATGGTAAATTAGAGCTATCTAGAATAAGCGTTCATCTGTTGATCAATTTACTCGCTGCAAAAGTGAGTTGGAATGATAGAATATGCGGAATCTGTTTTGTAATTGTGAGTTTTATTTAGCAGGACTCAACATTTTTCATTTTATGGCCCATTTGTCATCATTCTTTGTGTCTTTCTCACACAAGGAGGTTAGTTACATATATGATTTTGTTGAACGTGCTTCTCCAGTTAATAAAATACACAAATTTAATTAGTTTAAAACCAATGCATAAAGCTTTGCTCTAACTGTGATCACATGGGGGGTAATGTTTGGATAAATAATTCTATTTATAGCCGTTCGTAATTTGTGATTTAAAGTAGAAAAGGTCAAAGTCAAAAATTGAAAGTATGTTTAAATTACAAAATCCATATTATTGTCTTAACTGCAAGTCTACAACTGCAAGGTTGCTCATGGAAGAAGTCTTATTTACATTAATTATTTGAACACTGCTGCCGTCATTTGCGAAAAAATTTACGGTTTCCAATTTTGGCAACAACTCATGCATGTTAAAATTTTTCTTTGATCCTCTTATTTGTACGTCATATAATTCTCTTGCAATTTTCCAATCTTTTCTCAGTCTTTAACCCTCAGCTGTGTTTGCTCATGGAATTTATATTGATTGCAGCGCGTAGAAGTTTATGATTTCTATTGCCTTATTGATAAATAAAGCGTACAATTAACGCGACAGTTACCTGGGGAGAAATGATCAACATTCTGCTCAAAGCCGACCTTACACATTCATTATGCATGACGATCGCTTGACATTTGCCTGTTGCTGTACGTTCTGATCAGCAAAAATGTTCATGCTAAATTTGAGAAAGCGATAGTATTTTTTTGACCCCTTGAATCTTGTGTGCAAAATGAATTATGTGAGTAATGCACAAAAATACATGAGCTAGGACAGGAATAAATTACACAATAGATTGTATATAAATCTTGATATATAGATATATGGAATTTAACATAGCCTACGTTTAAGTTAGAATATCGTGTAAAACATAACCAGGGTACAGCGTTTCTTGGAAAAACGTTGTAAAATTTTGATGTTCTCAAATGCCTATAACAAAGCATTGAATAAGCCATGTACTTTTTTAGCATACTATATTTAACGGGTTATAAAAGAAAAACAACAGCATTGAAGTCGGACGACTCGTATAGATAAGCCATGCAATGAATCTAATGACTATGTATGACTATGTGTTTATCACAATCTTACATGTGTATAAGAGGAGTAGATTAGTTCTCGTGCTTATAGATGAAATCAACTAATCTGTTGAGTGATAGACGAGATCAATGTGGACGAAGAACGTAATGTCGTAGTTGGTCGATAGTTAATCTTCTGCGTGGGATATAATTTCATACAACCACTGCTACTTGAGGTTTCGTTTAATACAACCCCTAACATCGTGACTGTATTTTTAATAAAAATGGAGCTCTTATCTGTAATGCCGACTTTCTCTTAGTGGACTTCTTAGATAATTAGCAGTTTAATACTTAATGAGCTCTAGCTATAACTTGAAAAAAAAAGGAATTTTTAGCTACTCGCTTATTAATGCTTTGAAAGCCACAAGAAGGCGAAAATTGTCCGCTATTATGATCTTCTTTATAAAGCACACATCATCAAAACATCCTTCTGTTTTATGCTTTCAAAATAACACATATTTTAGCTATAATTATGTGCTGGTGTAAATCAAACGCTTTGGATTTTTGATTGTCGTATGGACATTTACAGAGTTGTGAGAGTTTATGATGGTAATGCATTTTGTTCTATACGTATTTTTATTAAATACTTCATTCAAATCACCTTGAAGATATTGTTATTGAAAGCGGACGGACGGACGGACAAAAGAATAGAATGCGGATTTCCCACAAACAGAATAAAATCCGGATTAACCGTTTCAAACGTCGTTTTCCCACGTCGTGTTTTGTGGACTTCTCATCTTTTTAATAACGTATAGTGAAAGGCTTTGATTAAATGCTTCTAAAATGCATGAGTAGGTTATGAATGTCTGGGTAATATACTTGTCGTCATTCGTGTAACAAGTATATTACCCGTAACAAGTATAAATATAAGTTCATTTATAGTGTGTTATAATTTATACATGTAGAGTTTATAATAATTTCAAGTCTATGAAAACAACAATGATCTCTCAACGAACAAAATCTTTTGAATTTTAATTAATGCTCTATAGTTTGTTACGCTTCCTTTATGAGAGAAGCATTTTATACACGATATTTTTCATTAGTTTGTGAACATGCAACTGTCGAATTATATTAGTGGCACACCGTACTCTACCAAAACATCCAAACTTGATCTACTACTTTTATTTCTACGCATCGAATCAACATTACAGCCTCAGTTTACCTGTTTATAGTCTGCAAATTAGATAGATTATAACTTACACTTTCTCACTACTGGAAAGCCTTTTTTGATGAACTGAGTGTTTTATTTCCTAATGCATGAGAGTTTTTACAATAACAATACTCTTCAAGGTGATTTGAATGAAGTATTTAATAGCAAATACGTATAGAACAAAAATGCATTACCATCATAAACTCTCACAACTCTGTAAATGTCCATACGACAATCTAGAAAAGTAAAGTGAAAAGCACAATTTAGAAGGAATACAATTACACACAATTAACTCTCGAAAATAGTCATTAAATTACATTCACTCGAGTTCAAGTCTCGTCCAAGTCACATGTTTTTTATGTGCATATCAAGACCGTGCTAGGATTAATATTACATATACTCGAGTTTGCTATTTACTAATGACAGGAAGAATTTGAGAGCGTATCTTAGCATTACTTTTACTTGACATTTGATCAACGCTTAAGACGGATTTCCACTTATTGAAAACTTTCCTATCTTGGAAAATTCTTTAAGCTGAGCATGCGCTCTAGTCGTGTTTCTCTATCTTCGGTCGGAAATATTTTTCTATGCCAGGAAAAAAGAAAGTTGAAAAATTTCAACATAGATTACTACAGTGGAAATGGATGCAGGAACTTTTTCCGTCACTTGTAGAGAAATATTTCTTTCTATAGAAAGTTTTCAATAAATGGAAATCCGTCTTTAGTAATATAAAGTTTGCATCCGTCAAGGTAACATTTGTCCGATTTTTTCCTTCAAGAACGCCGTCTGATTGATTTATCTCACATGGAAGTCACGTATGCTGATGTAGTGAAAGCTAAGGATTGAACGTCAGTAAGATAAGCAAAGTTATTGTTAGCGAATGCCACAAAATGGTTAACACATGCGATATATAGTTGGTTAATTTTATTAACTCATTCTTCATATTGCTAAGCGATGATCAAATGTCAAGTAAAAGCTTTCAAATTCTTCTTGTCATTAGTAAATCACAAACTCGCGTGTATGTAATATTAATATAAAAACAGGGTTAAAATAAAATGCGGATACGGATGGCGGATGAGGATAAAACGCGGATGAGGAGATAAAATGCGGATGAGGGATAAAATGCGGTGTGTTTAGTGTGGCTGGAGTGTCGAACACAGCCTGTCAACCTTGAGTGAAACAAATATTATAAGTTTATAAAATTATTTATTCTACGTTCATCATCATTATAACACAAATAAACTTCATATGCTTGACTGTCTTTTTTCTCGAGGATCGTTGAATGGCAAATACAATTAATATGTCCATATATTCAACTGTATTGTACTGCGTATAT